TTTGGTTTTACAGTGGTATATGGTTGTTTTTATTACATTGTCAATGCACACTATAAAGGCTAACCTTTTTAACAAGTGTATTTGAGCTTTTAAGGGAGTACTGCTTAACTAACAGAGTCAAGTAATCATTTATTACTTTGACTTTGCAATATGAAAATGATCTTATTTCTTATTCATTTAAAAAAAAAGCTTTTCAAGGGTCCAGGGGGAAACGCCTCACTACGGAAATGCCTCAAAAAAACAGACTCATAAAACATAGCACACAGTTCAAGGGGGGGGGGGCTAAAAGTCTGAAAGTGTAGAGGAGATTACCATTTCATTTCCATGGGACTGTTTTAATTAGACTTAAACAACTATTAAATGACTATGAGTAAATTTTGATGTTGTGTTATATTTAATCAACAGAGTGTACTGATCAACTGTTAGTTAGCCTGCGATAGGTCACAGGAGAGACATGACTCAGGGGATGAGTTGAGAGAGTACAAAAAAACTCCGTGACACTTTTAATGAGTAACGCACAAATAGATTATAATTTGGTTTGGAAATCAATTCATACTAGGGCTATATAATTTATAACTAGATTTTAGAAGCAATTTCTTTTATATGGGACTAGGGGGGGGGGGTGCAAATTCGTCATTGCACCCCTCTTTCAGAAGAAAGGGGGGTGCACCTGCACCCTTGCACCCCCCCTGGCTACGGGCCTGAATTCCTACATAATCGCCACAAATATTGTGTGATGTGTCATATTTAAAAAATTATTTTCATTTAAATTCATGATTTTTTAATGAAAGGCGTTTTCTTGTCAGTTTCTGAGTACAATGTACATATTTGATTTATGGATGAATAATGAATATATAAATATATATATATGTATATTTTAAATTAATTGATAATGTGATTTATATTAAACAGAATAGATTTCTTTTTTTATTTCATATAAGATGTGACGTTGACTTACTGAATATCTGGTTGGTAACGTTAGTTTTTTTCATTGTTTGAGTAATTAATACACATTTTTCTCCCCCCCCCCCTAAAAATGTTTAGGGGGTGGCAAAAATTTTCTTCGCTCTTCGCGCGAAATTTTTCCATCTTTCCCCCCTCTAACAAAATGTCTAGTTCCGCGCCTGCTATGGCACCGTGCGTATTGCTTGACATTTAATTAATTATTACAGCTTCAACACCTATGGTTTTCGCGAAAATATTTTTACGTAATAAGAAATTTTCACGAAAACAGTTTTCGCGAAGTTTCGCATTTTTCATTGCATTCATTTTCGTGAAAAAATACGAAATGCAAAAAATATTGCGGAATACAAATGAAAATGTTCGCTTTTTTAGCATTTTAGCGAAACTTTTTGTTCGGTGGAAACCCTAGACATAACTAAAGGTTGTATGGTGTGTATGGTGTAAACTTGATGTATGCATGAATCATTTCAAACCTCCACTCTCCAGGCTCCAACTATTTCTATACCATGACGAAATAGAAGAAAGTAGTAGTTCGATGGGAGAGGAAATGGGGGAGGGGGGGGGGGGGAAGAGAATATGTGATACTTTGCATTTGTTTACATAGATGAAAAATGCAGTCTTTCTCACAAACTCAAATTTTGTAATTCCCTTATCTTTCCAACCTGATGGTGTAACCTTAGATATTTCAAACTTAGATTATTTGATCTTACAGAATTCATACGACTGGGTTGGCAAAGTTGTGGGAATTAGAAAATTAGAGTTTGTGGTAAAGATTAAGTTTTTTCATTAAAATTAAACAAATAGAGGATAGTATTAATTTTTAATTTGATATTTTATAGCATGCATATTGTCTATAATATCTCCAAACGCTAAAGATTCTTAGTAATTTTAAAAAGACTGAAGCATTTGTTTTATATTAATTTTACACAGTGGCTAAAATAAGTTATAAGACGTATAAGATGAATTCGATTATACATTCTAATGGCAAACAAAAAGAAATAGGTTGTCCCAAAAAAAACTTTGCAGTAGAGGTATTGAAAGCTGAGGGGATTAATTTTCGTACTATTTTCATAGTTAAGGATTAATCGGAAAGCTCTATATTTCAGTTATTTCAAGGTTTACATTTTTGTAAGTTCAGTCAGCAACCAAAACTCCAACTGCAAAGTTTTTTGAGACACCCTGTACATTAACCCTATAAAGGCTGAAGGGTATGCATGTAGCAAATGCCTTACTCCATGATCTTTTCTTAAGTCTGTACCAATCCAGGTATGACCTTGTGTTAACTCAGGTAGAATACTTAATCTGTATCAATTCAGTTAAGATGCTGTTGTATTTATCAGGTATCTATCTTTCAAGATACAACTCAAGCTGACTCTCAGCTAGAATACTCAATCTGTATCAATCCAGATATGACGCTGTTGTATTCTTCAGGTATCTCTCTTTCAAGATACAACTCACTATAATCTTTGATATGTATCCCTGATACATTCTCGGAAATCTTTAGCATGTATCCCTGATACACTCTCTGTAATCTTTAACATGTATCCCTGATACACTCTCTGTAATCTTTAACATGTATCCCTGATACACTCTCTGTAATCTTTAACATGTTTCCCTGATACAGCACTCTCTGTAATCTTTAACATGTATCCCTGATACAACTCTGTATTGCTCAATCCTGGATACAACTAGAACCAACTTTTTGCTTCTCTACACGAGATAAATAGGTATATGCCTAATGAAGCAACAATTCATTTTTAACTAATTTATATTTATAGTAATGATGGGGTTTATAGTAAATGGACAGATTGGTTTTCCTAAAATTTACGAACGCAGTTATGATATGTATAACATATTACAAGCATAGATATATATAAAAGATAAACAATTGTTTAATCACAATACAGGCTTGACGTAGCTATCTACAAGCGTAGTTAGGTTACAACGTACAATGTAATATATATACTAGGTGTGTTCAGGTTAATAAAAATGGGGTTTTGCTACGATATTTATTACATGCATAGCATATATAAATTTTTATTCTGACAACCTTTTCTATCAAATTACAAGTTTACATAAACATGTTGTATGGAAGCTTGGTATAAACATAAAAATAAGTAATTTGTGCTTATTGTATTGATATATAAGACGACGACCAAATTTAACTCAATTTAACAGAAATACATAGAATTATATTCTTAATATCAAATATCAAATATCAAATATTCATGATAATTCTGTTTGTTCCACTAAATATTTCAAGTTTCAAGTCTGGATGAGACCAATAAGGCGTCAGTGAGGCGTTCCTCAAAATTTGCTGTATCATAATATTTCTAAGGTCCAAGGAGTCCGGGAGTCCTTTTGATGCTATCTATCAGTCTAACTAAATAATTTAGTGCCTAATTCTAAATTGTCAAAAATCCACTGAAAGGCAAATTCTTATCCACAAAATCCTCAAAAAATATTTAAAAATACCCCAGAAAATCTTCAATTTTCCCTACAGAAAACAGCTTTTTTAGAGTTTTTTTAGAGGGTTTAAGAGGGTTTTTAATAATTTTTCCTTACTGATGCAAGTTCAGATCTCTTAACAGTGCAAATGTCATTTAAAATGAACTCTGCAGCACAAAAATATTAACAGTCACATTACACACTTTGAAAAAAAAACAGTTGCTTACAATTGAGAGCTCATGTTACATACAGTGAAACCCTTAATAACGAATACATCGGAAGAATTTATCAAATTTCGTCTTGACAATTTTTCAATGAGTTTTATACTATATTTCGTAAATTTCAGTATTTGTGAAAATAAATAAATAGCTATGAATATGCGGGAACAGTTTTAAAGAGTTCCATATAATCATTTAATTAAAAAACTAAATATCTGCAACATTCCATTATCAGAAAGTGAAGAATACGACGTTTGATGAATTCTTTCGATGTATTCGTTATTAAGGGTTTCACTGTACTTTGAAAACAATTGCCAAAATCTAATTTTCAGCAAAAAATTAAGCCAAAATTCCAAAAATATGAGTTTTTGGTCCTTGATAAAAAAATTTTCAAGATATCAATACAAAACAAATGGGCAGTAATCAGCAGAATCTCAGGCATCTTTAGATTTACATATTTTGTAAAAAAAATTTTACTTCTAACATTTGTGATTTTTTTCTATCCTTTACAGAAAAACTTAATTTCTAAAAGTTGTTCAGATTGACAATACTCATCTAATACCAACTGACAATATTTAAACTGTTAAAAAATGCAAAAATCAACTTCCTTAAAACGATACAGGAAAACTTTCATTTAATTTCGAGACATGTTTTTTATTAATTTTTGACAGAATATCAGAAATATCAGAATAATTATTAAAATCCCCAGAATATCTACAAATCCCCAAGGGGTTTCTAAATCCCCAGATATGGCATTTCTGGGGATTTAATCCACAAGGTTGGGCACCCATGTAATCTGATGCCTGCAGCTGTTTTAAAGCTGTTTCCCACCCAACCTCCTTCCCCCCAGGCCATAAAAATCACAATTGGAAAGCGTGATAATTTTTTTATTTGATTCAGATCTTTTGATTAAAAAATTAGATAAATCGGAATATTTCTATTCAATTGGATTTGATTGGATTTACAAAACTATATTACTAATGTAAGATTGGATATATTCAATTAAAATTGAATGTATACATTTTGTTTTAGCGATTAATTTGACAAATATTCAAATAAACTGAAATTTAAAAAATTTATTTTTTGGAAGAAATTATTTTATAAATTGTAAAAGCATTCACCTAAAAAATTTAATTGTGAATAAAAAAAAATTTAGTCCTTAAATTTTACAGTGTGGCTAGATTTTAGCAAAAACAAGAAAAATTCAGTTACGTTATTAAAAATTTTAGTTTTAGAAAAAAAAATGACATTTGTATAATCTCGAAGATGAAGGATGTGTTGTTCTTGGAGTCGCAACTACGCCTCGTGTAGCTCTGAGAACACGGATGATAAGAAGGTATTTTTGTATTAAAATTTTCAGGATAATATGCATTGGTCAACAGGAAGTAAATATTAGTTTTGTGGCAAAGAACTCAGTTATGTTAAAGTTATAATGTCAGGCCACAGTAACACACTTTAAATATCGAATTTATCATTAAAAAATATAATTTTATAAAATTATATAATTATGTATTTTGCATTATTAAAAGAAAATAAGTAATTATGTTCAGGATGAAGGGTATCACATTTCCTGATCTAAACTTGCAGTGCCAGTAAGCTAACGAAGACGACCTTCAATCAAAAAGTGTCAAAAAAGAAAATGTTCTTAGAATTGATTTTTACATAAGAATTGACTATCACTGTAGTTTTGTGAGGACATTTTTTAATTCACTTCTCCCTACTGACTATTGCTACATTAGACAATTTTTAAACCTTTTCAAAATAGCATTGTCACAATGATTGATATCAAAAAAGTAATGCATCTGACTATAGCTTTTAAAAATAGTTCTGATTCTAAAAGGTACAGATATTTTTCAATTTTTACTTTTAATCGTAATATAACTCTCTTGAATTTAAATATGGGTTGTCATATAATTCTAGCCCTATCTAGTGTAATTCATCTAAAACATATTTAAAACAGCGTACTACTACTCCTTCTACCCCAACAACGATTCCTAATATAGAACAAGCTGTGACATCTGCACCTGATCCTTCTGGTCCAGTACCAACTTCCAAAGAAGCACCTTCTAATTAGGATACAATTAAAGATGCATCTGCTGAATCAGAGATACCTGGAAGTGTTTCTAGATTTGGTAAGTTTATTCCAAATGCATACAAATACAATCAAATTATGTTTAAGTAAACTCTGTGTTTGTTAAGAACTGATTTAGAAATGAGTTTAGCTCCTTAAGCCAATGTTGAGAAGCAAAATCCACGGGTTCCTGTGTCACCTGCAGCACCAGCTCCTGCAGCACCTTCTACTATAGCGGCAAACCCTGTAAAAGAACCTGTAAAGAAAAAGGCAATCAGTGAGGATATGCTCAGTATATGTTCAGCAACTACAACTGGTATAAATCTATATTTACAAGTTTAAAAATGCAACTAATATCTAGTAGATTAAACATTCACAAAATTTATCCTTTCTTCATAAAGTTACTGACCTGTTAATCAGCTTAAAACCTCCACCGCCAACTGAAAAGTTACCTAAGGCTCCTTATCCAGCTTCAGTATCTAAGGCTTCTTTTCCAGCCCCAGTATCTAAGGCTCCTCCTCCAGCTCCAGTTTCAGCTTCGGTTTCTAAGGCTACTCCTCATGGTTCCAGTTTCCAATTGTCTGGCACTGGCGGCTCAAGAATCAACCACTCCCGCATCGGTTTGATTATTAACCACTATTGCACTGGCTCCGGTCACCTTTGCCCTTGCATCCGTTACTAATCCTTCAGCTCAAGTATCTAAACCACCTGCACCGGCTCCAGTATCTAAACCCCCTGCACGGCCTCCAGTATCTAAACCCCCTGCACCGCCTCCAGTATCTAAACCACCTGCACCAGTTCCAGTATCTAAACCACCTGCACCACCTCCAGTATCTAAACCCCCTGCACCAGTTCCAGTATCAAATTCCCCTGCTCTGGCTCCAAGATCCTCTATAAGTAGATTCGCTGATTTTAACGAAGAAGCTACAGAGATCTAGAGAGAGTTAGCTAGATTTGACCGAGCTGATATGATTAGTATGTGTTCAGCAACAACAAATATGTAAAATTCAAGTATCATTACTTAGGTAATATTTTCCGATAATCTTTACTCTAAACCCTATCAAATAATAAGTATAATAAATATATATATTGAACTCATCTATAGTTTTTACATGACTTGTGTGCAGTGAAGTAAGCCCCACGGCACTCTTATCAGAACATTTTTAAAATAAGAGTGGGATTGTTTGAAGTAAAAAAACAGAAATCTTTTAATTGTTTTAGGTTTAAAAACTGAAAATATTCTTCAAAAAAACGGATTCAATAAAATACAAAATATGGTTCGATGTTATGTTAAATTTTGTTTTTGGATAAATCTAACATTGTTGAAATATCTGCTGGCAAATTCATCTGATTGATCTGATTGATCTGATTGATCTGATTGTTCTAATTGATCTGATTGGTCTGATTCATTAGATTGATCTGATTGATCTAATTGATCCGATTGATCTGATCTGATTGATCTGATCTGATTGATCTGATCTGATTGATCTGATCTGATTGATCTGATCTGATTGATCTGATCTGATTGATCTGATCTGATTGATCTGATCTGATTGATCTGATCTGATTGATCTGATCTGATTGATCTGATCTGATTGATCTGATCTGATTGATCTGATCTGATTGATCTGATCTGATTGATCTGATCTGATNATTGATCTGATTGATCTGATTGATCTGATTGATCTGATTGATCTGATTGTCCTGATTGATCTGATTGATCTGATTGATCTGATCTGATTGATCTGATCTGATTGATCTGATTGATCTGATCTGATTGATCTGATTGATTTGATTGATCTGATTGATCTGATTGATCTGATTGATCTGATTGATCTGATTAATCTGGCTGATCTGATTGATCTGATTGATCTGATTGATCTATCGAATAAATGGTGTTGATGTTGGATGAGGTAAGGACTGCTGCAGTGCTGCTAGGACTGAAACAACTTTAATCTTCTCACTGATATTCCTCTACAAATACAACAGTAGCATTATTTTACGTATTTGGCCTTTTTTTTGTTTTTATGTATTTTGCATGTCTGTATGTTTTTCTGTATGGTTGCATCCAATAACCATCAAAACAGGCCCAACATTTTTGAGGCAACTCACATGACCCCGGGAAAGGTTTAAAGATGCCTAAAAATTCAAATTTAAAAAAAAATGTTATTAAATATTACATGGGTCATCACATGAACCAAGGATTTTCTATGCCCGGTAAGGATTAAAAAAATTATCTCAAATAATTTTTTTCATTATCAAAAACAGGAAAATATATAATTCTTTTTTAAAAATTATTCTTTTTTTAAATTTACTAAGCAGAAAGGAGCAGATACAGGGTGCCTCGAAAAAGGGTTACATTAGGTTTCGACCCAATTATGATACTTTTCCTTGCGTAAAAAATATCCAAACTTTTTTTTACCCTTTTTATAAACTACAAATGACACAAGAGTTTGGACCAGATTTATGTAAATATTAATGCATAACGTCCCTGGCTCCAGAGTACTTTAAATTCCCGCCTGCAGATAATTAGATTGTACACCAGATCAGCACTCATCAGAACTTCCTTAAATGGAAAATACGAAAAATAAAATAGAAATTAAAAGAAATTGTTTATTTATTAAACTTTAAAATCATTTTATAAAAATTGAGTCTTTGCCACAAACTAATCCAGCTATATATTTCTGTGCACAGTGTGCTATTTCAAACTTAGACTATTTCAGAACTTGAAATGAATTTTCGTGTTTTTTTGTTGTTGCGGGGGTTGTGTGGCATACCACCTCACTTAAACATTGTTTTTAGTCTTCTCATGAGTCATGATTCTATTTCATATTTATGTTTATAATTCAAATATTTCAAATTTGTTGTTAAAATTAATAGTTTTAGGTAAATGGAAATTCTTAATTTTACTCAGCCAAATATTTACATCCAGAAACAATCTAGAAAATCTTTACATTCCACTGCAAATTAGCCAGAGAGAGAAGGTGACATTTCTTGTGCGACTGTTTAAGCATTAGCAGGAGAAGAACAAACTTTAGAATGGTGGATATCGAGATCAATGCTTAATCCTCTCTTTTTGCTAATCTCAAGATTAATATAGTCTCTAGATTAATTTCTAGAGATAAGAGATGCGCTCTTTAACTTTTGAAAACCCGATTTTTTATTTTCCCGCATTTGTGGCGTCATATATCAATTGGACGCATGATCGATTGAACGCACGTAAATTTTGAATTGATGTTTATAAAGAGTAACGTTCAGAAAGAGTCCTTAAATGTGATAAAATATGTTTTTTAATTATAATAATAATATCTAATTATACTTTTTTGTATCCCTAGACATTTACATTTTAGAGCAGATGTTTCTGGTTAAAGTATGTAAGAAAAAAATAGCAAAATTCTAAGTGAAAACAATTGAATATTAAAAAATAACCTTGATTAGATAGAATGAGATGATTATTTTGTTTCCTGACTCTAATGCAATCTCCGGATTGTTGTAGAGAACATGGATCAATACCTCACCAAACAGTCTAGATTTATATTATCAATATCTATCTTTCTCAATTGATTTCCCAAGCTGTAATTGTACATCTATAAAATAGTAATTTCTGTTTGTATTATTTTAATCATATTCCTGCGGCACACTGCTTGAAAGCCTGCTTTTTCTAAGAGAAACTTTTGTATAGTTTTTTTGGCATCAATGAGGAAAATAATTAGATTGCAGATTGTATATTGCAGTACTTTAGCTACGCTCAGTTTAACAACGCCTAGTTTAAATAATTACTTTATTACTAAATTTATATACTTAAATTTATAGAAACGTAAATTATTAAACAGTTAGATAGATGACGTGGCCGGAAGTTGCTCATCTTGCCGCGTCTAGATCTTAGGTTCAAAACTCCTCAAAAGTCTCGTCTTCCGCCACTACGCCGCCACAGTGCTGCAGTACACACCGAAACCTCAGTTGAGGGTGTGTAGTGTGTACATATTTTTTTATAAGAAATGTAAATCACATGTTTAGCATACAGGCTTTTCTTCCGCAAAACAGTAACCTCAGAGACGACTCTATCTATTTTAAAGGGACTGTAATAGTAATTTCAAGTGGCCCTCAATTCAAAGACGGCAATGTCTGATTCAAAAAGCTGCCCTTGAAACCTTCATCTGATCTTAATGTGGAATTTTTCCTTTTTTTTGAAGTGTTAAAATTTGATAATAATGATAGTCACTTTTTCAGTTTTCAAATTATAACATAAATATCTAATTTACAATTGATCAGACAAAGTTAGAAAGACCGTTGTGAATCTTACATGACAATTTTTGGTTATTTTTTAATGGAGGGTCATTAAAATTACGTGGTATACAGACCCTTTCATTCCACCTAACCTTGAAAAGTGTGAAATTGTATATCTACACAGAGCCCGCGATTTAAAAACTTCGGCTTGAGCCGTAATTCCTTAAACCCGATTTTGAGACCCGATCTTCGACCCAACTCTGACGACAGCTTGTGTCACGTGATTTACAGCTGCTTAAGTTCTTATGCTCGACTTAGGAGTTAGCCCCAATGAAAATAAAACCGATCTTGGTTGGTTTTAGTAGATAGTAAGGGAATGCGTCAATTCCAAATTCCTACCATGAAAATCCGCCAAATAGAATATTAAACTGGTATTTAAAAATCAACTCGGTGGAAAATATGATGCAGCTTGAATATGAAAGCTCAAGCCTTAAATAAGGCCCAACGACAGCTTAGACCCGAGCCGTATTTTCCAGAATTTTTATTAAATCTCGGGCTCAGGGGTTTCAAATAATAAAGAATATCAATTAAACAAATTGATGTACTTGTAATTTTACCTGAAGAAAATACACTGAAGAGCTTTTCTCAAACATTGCCTACAAAAAAGTATTTTGAATGAATGTATTTTGAATGAATGTATTTTGAACAAAAACATGCTTGACTTTGTTTGCAAGTTTTAACTTTAGCAGGTGAAAAGGCAAAATTAATTGTTTACCTTTATCTACCATATTTTATTTGGATCGTTCAGAGAGATTAAAAAACGTACGAAAAAAACCCCAAAAAACAAATAATGTAAAATTGTTAATAGTTATTCACATGTTATGGATCAGTCAGCAGACCGTAATGATTTCTAAATTATTATTAATTATGGTTTTCCACAAAAATGTCTTGTCCATTACAGCGAAACATATAAGAAGAAAATGACAGAATTAAATGCTTTTAGACCTATAGAAATTATAAACCTTGAAAACCAAAATATCTTTTATATTATCAACCTGATAAAAATTTCAAGGGTGACCGTTGTAAATCGGGCATTGCCATATACGCATATGAGGTCAACCGATATTTCGCTTACAGTCCCTTTAATATTTTGATTTCTCGGTAGAAGTGTGAATACCTGTAGTTAACAATAGTTCTTCTATATCTCATACCAACCCTTTTTATACTTCCTTGCACTTTCAGCCTAAGAAAATACATGAGATAAAGAAAGGATTCAAAAAAAAGTCCTTTGAAAAATTCATCCAAGTATGTTCCTAAATTCAATAAAAATATAAAGTGTGTTCCTATATTCAAGAATAATATAAAGTGTGTTCCTAAATTCAATAATAATATAAAGTATGTTCCTATATTCAATAAATAAATAAATTGTGTTTCTAATACAGGCTGTTTCCTAATATGAATATATAATATTTATTTATCAAAAATTCTCTATACAAGAGTATTTCTAAATTTTAGCAAGATTTTCTCAAGTTTTTTAAAAGCACTTAAAATGTTACTTTTGGGATATTAATAGGTTTGATTTTTCTCTAGAAAACTTTTAAAGAAATTGAAAAATTTAAAAACCTGAATGAACGGCACTATATTTAAAATTTGTATGCTAATATCAAGAAAATACCAGGAAAATTTTAACATTATTTTTGGTTTAGTATAAAATAACGCGAAGACCAAATTTGATCCATTATTTCGGAAGATCGGACGTAAAATTAGTAAAAACGAGGCTCGGAAGAGGAATTGCAGTGGCTCGGTGTATTACTTACCCGAAAAAACGAGACTCGGAAGAGGAATTGCAGTGGCTCGGTGTATTATTTACCTGAGAAAATGAGGCTCCTAGAAGAGGAATTGCAGTGGCTCGGAGTATTATTTACCCGAGAAAACAAGGCTCGGAAGAGGAATTGCAGTGGCTCGGTGTATTATTTACCTGAGAAACTTAGTTATCCTGTAATGAACTAAACCCATGAATATGAGGCTCAGTCCAAGAAATGTAATGTAAAGGAGTCGGGCCTGAAAAAAGTGTAGAAGCAAATTATTCCACCGCCAATCAGATTGACATGGCATAATTTGTGTAGCCCCTCGGGGGCGGGGGGGCAGGATGAAGGATATTATAGCCCCTCCCCCCCATTGTTTATTCTTGACTTATAAGACAAACTTTTATTTTTTAACTCCTAATCTGTTAAACTCGATGTCATCCTCTTAGTCCTTTGATATTTCAATATATGAATTCTGGTGGATCAAATAATTCAGGTTTAAAATATCAATAGTTTACACCACCAGGTTGCAAAAGATAAAAGAATTAGAAAATTAGGGTTAGCGGCAAAAACTCAATTCCTATTTAGGATATCCTTTTTTCTTCAAGCATGCCTAAGGACTTATTAGGAAGTTATGTCTCACGTCTATGCATGACGATCCTCAGTAGTCAAATATTATATATAAATAAATAAATCTATTTTGAATTTTAATATTTTAGTTTTAGAACCTTTTTAAACTGCTTATGCTTGATGTTCAGAACGCTTTCCCTAAAACAATAAAAATTTAAATGAGGTATCAGAATTACCTTTCAAAGAAAATATAACTTCTAACAAATGTATCAAAATATATTCAAATAATATTAAAAATTTCCATTCAAATTATTGGTCTGGGGAAAACTTTGCAGCTATTCAATGTTTTGATCTAAAATTTGACAATTATAAATTGGAGGTTATCTTCAAAATTAAACAAGGAAAAACATTAATGTTTCTTCCTCTTAGATAGAGTAACGACATTTTCTTCCTCATATCATTGTTACTCAGATGATCTAGAGTTGGGGGAATTCGTTTTTCCCTTTCATCGTTCATTGTTCTTAGACAATCCATTTCGTTCTTTTTCAATCATTCTAATTATTATCATTCATCTTTTATTTATTTTTGTTCCTTTTCTCACTGAGCGATTGTTCTGTAAAATCGTTCGTTCAATTAAAAGACTAAAAAATCGTTTATGAACAATTTAGATCCTTTAAGATATTTTGAAACATTCATTTCTTTTAAACTATAGTTGTTTTATTTCTCTGAACGATCCATGTCGTTCTTCCATCATTAAACTTTCTGAAGAACACCATCGTTTTGTTTGTCTCATAAATTTAGTTTGTCTAACAAATTTAGTTCACTCACAAAATCGATGTCCATCTCTTCTGATGTGCATCTCTACAGATGTCCATCTCTATAGATGCCCATATCTACAGATGTCCATCTTACAGATGTCCATCTCTAAAGATGCACATCTCTACAGATGTCCATCTCTATAGATGTCCATCTCTACAGATGCCCATATCTACAAATGTCCATCTCTCAGATGTCCATCTCTACAGATGCCCATCTCTACAGATGCCCATCTCTCAGATGTCCATCTCTACAGATGCCCATCTCTACAGATGCACATCTCTACAGATGCACATCTTTACAGATGCACATCTCTACAAATGCCCATCTTTACAAATGCCCATCTCTACAGATGCCTATCATTACAGATGCCCATTCTTTAGATACCCATCTCTACAGACACCCATCTCTACAGATGTCCATCTCTACAGATGCCCATCTCTACAGATGCACATCTCTACAGATGCACATCTTTACAGATGCACATCTCTACAGATGCACATCTCTACAGATGCACATCTCTACAGATGCACATCTCTACAGATGCCCATTTCTACAAATGCCCATCTCTACAGATGCCTATCTCTACAAATGCCCATCTCTACAGGTGAGTTTACTGTCATGGAACGGACCTGGTCGGAGTTTCAAAAAATAAAAAAATAGTTAATAACTTTTTTATTAGTTAAGCTAAACATCTAAAATTCATTTATTAGAAAAGCCCTTGAAAAATAGAATGATCGTTTCTAAAAATGATAGCTTTTTAAAAAAAATATCTGGTTTTAAATAAGGTCGCTTTCTAAAGCGATAGTTTTTCGTTTTTGAAATAGAACAAACGTTTTCAAGAACTATCGTTTTTTGTTTTTAAAAAACGACCCTTTGTTAACGACCGTTAACGACGACCCTTTGGTAACGACCAATAACGACGACCCTTGTTAACGAACTTTAACGACTACCCTTTGTTCATGACCATTAAAAACGATCCTGCGTTAACGATCTTTAACAACCATTCAAACAGAAAATATATTTTTTAGTCGGAAAATCCGAAAAACATTTAAAACAACATTCATAACCTCATCTTCCTGAGAAAAAATTAATTGTTATGAAACGATTGTTTTTGGTTTTAAGAAAAAATATCATGCTAAAAAAACCCGACAGTTTTTTTTTAAGTTAGAGGCGATTTGTTCGTTTTTTTTCTAAAAAACAAAACAAAAAAATTGAAACAAAACGAAAAACGATAATTCTTTATAAACGATTAACAACCCAACAGTCCCTCGCACCCTAAACTTTAAACTTAGCTCTAATTTACTTCTAACCACGTCCACTCTAGTTTCAGTAGAAGTAAATATTTCCATTTAGTTTATAACGCCGATTTAAGGATTTATCTTTAATTGGATAATGAGATAGATAGATAGATAGATGTTACCGCCATACTATTTCTTTTGGTTCAGAATAGACATCAAACAAATGACTGAACCCTGATTGGATCAGGCGCTAATACAAGAGTGCGTCAGCAATCTCTTTAATGAAAATATAATTACCCCGAGCACAAAATTATCAAGAAAAAGTTTTCAGGATAGGCCGGGGAGTTCATCCAGTTCACAATCCCTTTATTCATAGATAAAATATAGATCTACAAGTTCATAATCCCTTTGTTCATAGATGAATATAGATCTACTAGTTCATGATCCCTTTATTCATAGATAAATATAGATCTACTAGTTCATAATCCCTTTATTCATAGATAAATATAGATCTACTAGTTCATGATCTCTTTATTCATAGATAAATATAGATCTACTGGTTCATAATCCCTTTATTCACAGATAAATATAGATCTACTAGTTTATAATCCCTTTATTCATAGATAAATATAGATCTACTAGTTCATAATCCCTTTATTCACAGATAAATATAGATCTACTAGTTCATAATCCCTTTATTCATAGATAAATATAGATCTACTAGTTCATAATCCCTTTATTCATAGATAAATATAGATCTACTAGTTTATAAACCCTTAATTGTACAATTTTGCAAAATGATTCATTCTTTTTAAGTTTTGCCCAAAATCGCAATTTAAAGTTGTATTCGATCTAATATGATGAGGAACACCATGCAAATTAAAAATTAAATTATCATTTTTCTATGCCTAGGAACACCATCCAGGAGCAGAAGGCTATATAGCAGAACTTTAAAATACTGGTTCCTAGGATGGAAAGATATATATATATATATATCAGTTGAAACGCAACAATCTTCTTATAACATTTTATTCATAAACAAATTGTTTCATGCTTTTATGCAATCATCAGTATGAATATATATATATATATATATATATATAGATAAATAGATAGTAATTACCTTCCATCATCAAGTATTAAGGATATATGATGATGAAATAGAAAGATAGATAGATAGATAGATATTACCTTCCATCATCAAGTATTCAGGATATATGATGATGAAATAGATAGATAGATAGATATTACCTTCCATCATCAAGTATTAAGGATATAGGATGATGAAATAGATAGATAGATAGGTATTACCTTCCATCATCAAGTATTAAGGATATATGATGATGAAATAGATAGATAGATAGGTATTACCTTCCATCATCAAGTTTTCTGGATATATGATGATGAAATAGATAGATAGATAGATATTACCTTCCATCATCAAGTATTCAGGATATATGATGATGAATTAGATAGATAGATAGATATTACCTTCCATCATCAAGTTTTCTGGATATAGGATGATGAACATCCGGAGGAACAACCCAAAGAAGGTAAAGAAGTAGGTGACCAGTGAATAGATAAACTCCAAACTAATAATAATAATAATTATAATAATAGATAAACTTCAAACTTATGACAATGTTAATAATCATAAGTAACTGAAGGGCAAGGCGTTGCCGGTGAAAAAAATATGTTAAAAAAACATTCCCAGGCCTCCAATGACTGTCCACAAAAAAAATCAGCCCAATCTGTCTAGCTGTTTGCCTGGCTATACGCAACATATATGAATGTCTTGTTTATTTATAATGATAGATAAGCTCCAAACTGTTATCAATACTTATTATGATAATAGATAAAGTCCAAACTAAAAATAATATTAATTATAATTTAAGATAAACTACAAGCTGATAATAATAATATTAATTATAATAATAAATAAACTCCAAACTTAAAATGAAAATACTAATTCTAGATAAACTACAAACTTATAAAAATAATAATAATAATAACAGATAAACTCCAAATGATAAAAATAATTCTGGATAAACTAAAAACTAATAATCATAATAATGATGATAGATAAACTCCAAACTAATAATTAGAATAATGATAATAATAGGATAACACCAAACTAATAATAATGATAATTATGATTAAAAATCAAAATTTCTTTTTCTCAATTTCCTTTCCTATGTTCAAATTCGAACTAAACTTTTGTATAGAGTTTCGTTAATTTTGAACTCTTTATCTTGATATCCAATATGAGCACTTTTAAATTGCATGTTAAATACTTGATTCCTGCAGGGCATGCACTGCAGAATATCGAGGAGCAACTATGTTAATCTGTAAGCATGTTTAAGATTCCTGCAGGGTATGCACTGCAGAATATCCAGGAGCAACTATGTTAATCTAGGTAAGCATGTTTAAGATTCCTGCAGGGTATGCACTGCAGAATATCCAGGAGCAACTATGTTAATTTGTAAGCATGTTTAAGATTGACAACAAAAAAGTTCTGAAGTTAGTTAAAGTTTATTTACTTGAAAACATTCATGCAAACTCTGAAGTCCTGAGTAGGTTGATACAGCAGAGAACCCAGCTCATACAAGTACAGGTTCTATATACAGGTGTACTTTGTACTTTATACTAGTTTAATCAGATTACATGTTTTACACAGGTGTACTACGTACTTTATACTAGATATCTCAGAATACAGGTTCTAAACAAGTGTACTATGTACTTTATACTAGAATAATCAGAGTACAGGTTATACAACCCACTTTCATGGAGACTCCAGAAAGCTATCTTTAAATTTTGCGCCCAATTTAGGATAAAAATGGAATAAAAATGGATGACATCTGCAGCTACAATTGCATGTAAAAAAGATTTACGTTTTTACCTTTAAATCGGAATTTTTAGCAGATATTTTTCTGGTAATCCTAGTGTAGGATTCCTAGATTACAAACACAGGTCTTGATCTAACAATGAAAGAGTACAATGACAGCTAAGAAAATTGTACCAGACTTAAAGTACATAATGTTCCTGAAATGTGAGAACATTGAAGAGTACAACAGCTGTACCAAGGTTGGGTATACTCCATAAACTACAGTAAAATATATTCAACCAAACACTTTCAAACTACAGGGTAACCCATAAAGGATAAGAAATCAGAGACGACTGTACAACTTTTATCCTGTCATATTCCTTACATTATAGAATACGATTACCCGCCCCGCAACTGTAATCTTGTTTCTTTTCTTGCCCTATCATTAAATATGCAATAAAAGACTAGATTTCAGACAGAAGAATTAGTTTAACCTCACCTCCTCCTTACCTTTTACCTGATTTATTATCATTCTTATGTTTAAAATGTACAATGTACATTGTTTTTATCTGCAATTCTCATTCGTTTATAGTGGGCCAACCAATTAAAACAACCTACTCTGGTTAGGCGGGTCCAAACTACATAGTAAATTGTGATTTTTTATTTGTATTATCTCGTGCTTTGTAGTTGAATAAAAATATGAAATATGAAATATGAGATAACGTAGCGATTTTTTAAAATTGCAAATTGCACAAGACAAAATCCACTTATTAAGAGAAGATTAAGTTAGTTTATTAGACATTACTGATACAGCTTTGATACAGAGATACCCATAAAGTATAAGACTTCAAAGAAGACTGTGCGAAATTTGTACTGTATGTTTCCTTACATTCATATATCCCTGCAACTATAAACATCTTAGCTTTCTAAATAAGCAATTTAAAGACCACACTCAAGGCAGAAGACTTAAAGGGAGTGTTCGCGAAAAATATAAGGGGGTATAGGCTTATTGCGATAAAAAAGCGCTTTTGATCGCTACTAATCTTACTTCTATCTGCTGCGTCTTTAAGGAGAAAATTGTTCAAAACGATAATACCGAAGAACGTAGTGTCCATACAAATTCAGAAAGATGCAACATACGACTTAGACCGTAAAGAAATCTATTTAATTTCAAACAAATCATTCAGATATTACACCCTATGGTCATCGATTATCTTTCGCCACATTTGTATATAGTTGATTTTTCATAAAATGTTTTGATTTTATTTTTTAAAATAACATTTAGCTTCCAACTTGTTTTTGAACATTCCAGGAAAATATGAAAATGTCGTCTTCATTACCAAAAATCCTCGAAACAGGAATAAATGTTTTTATAAGTAACTCTCAGATCATAACAATTAAAACATATTATGAAAACTGCAGTCGAAAACATATTGGAATTGCCAGAATTAAAGCGTTTCAAATAACGAAAAATGTTTTTTTCATGTGCAATTACTTAACATGTTGCTTACAGTCCCTTTAAGAATAAGTTTTTTTTAAATTCATGTAATTTTAATTAAATCTATGAATATATTTCCTTGATCTAAGATAGAGATTGTAGAGTAGGTTTCCGGAAACCAATATGTTGCAAACACCCAGAAACACAGGAACTAAATAGGGTTTACAGACATAATTTTTTCACTTGCATACGGGCATTACGCAAAATTACGCTTTAATACGCGAATGAAAGAACGTCCAGTTTTGCGTAATTGAGGCATAATTACATGAATCAACTAAATCATTAAGCAGGCGTAAAAACATCTTCAAAATTGATAACTTTGGAACAAAGGTAGTGATGGCCGCGTTAATTTTTTTTATTTTGTTCGTTCGTCGTTCATGAACAACCCATTTTGTTCTTTTTTTACAATTGTTAAAAAAGTACTTTTTTTTGAATATCGTTTTTCAAAATTCTTTTGCTCCGTGAAAAACTATCTTTTATCATGTTCTTTCGAACAATTTCGTTTTGGATTTTTTTCGATCATTTTTTAAAAACTTTCGTTTGTTCAAAAATACAATGCCCATCTCTAACCACAGGTGCAACTCAAGGGGAGGAGGGAGGGTAAAACTAAAGCTAACACTTAAACATTAATAATTTTCAAAACTTTTCTAAAATTTTCTACATTTTTTATTCATACCTATTACAGTCCAATGTGGTAACCCTTCAATATCATGAGAAACCATTGTGTTTATCTACAGTACATATCCTCGATATTCGAATGTTTATCTACAGTACATATCCTCGATATTATTGTGTTTATCTACAGTACATCCTCGATATTATTGTGTTTATCTACAGTACATATCCTCGATATTCGAATGTTTATCTACAGTACATATCCTCGATATTATTGTGTTTATCTACAGTACATATCCTCGATATTATTGTGTTTATCTACAGTAAATGTCCTCGATATTATTGTGTTTATAACTTTATCTACAGTATACATATCCTCGATATTATTGTGTTTATCTACAGTAAATATCCTCGATATTATTGTGTTTATCTACAGTATACATATCCTCGATATTTATTATTGTGTTTATCTACGGTACATATCCTCGATATTATTGTGTTTATCTACAGAACCTATCCTCGATATTTATTATTGTGTTTATCTACAGTACGTATCCACGATATTTAGGTGTTTATTTAGAGTATATATCCTCAATATTTAAGACACCTGAGCGCAAAACTTAAGACTGTTAAGAAAACCAGTTTTAGAACCCGGGTTTCACGAATTGGGTTAGGCAGTTTTGTGGATATTAATATCTTTGTTATGAAATGTTATTTCATTTATTTTTCATATTCTCCTTTTTTAAAATTAAAAAAAAAATCCACACATATTATCAGACCCCAAAAAGGAAACCCAGAAGGTTCGTTCGAAGATACTCTTTTAAATTTCGGGCTCATGTATCGTAATAATATTCAGTATCGGAAACCCGAGGCCGAATTGAAAGAATTTAAGCCGCGGTTTAAATTTAAGCCGCGTCTCAAATATTGTTGGTTCCATTTAAATTTGTATTAAATTTATCAAGATTTAAGGCGGCGCTCAATTGAAACCGGTTTTTGGTGGATTTGAGACGCGGCTTAATTTCATTAAATTCGGACACCGGTGTCATTAATGGGTTCATACAGTGTTGTTGATACAGTTGTTACCGTTTATATCAATACAATGAAGACAACTTTTTTATTCAAGTTTTAATTGTTATTAAGCTTAATTGAATTACAAGTTTACAAGTAAACACGGAGACGCTGTTTTTTGACAGATTACCTTTGTTTCCATGTTTATGTGTATCCATCCCATCCTGTTTAAAGGCTTTTTAGAAATTGAATTAGAAAGTCGAGTCTTCGTTGCATTGATATATATGACGACGACTGTATACCAATATTTTTCCTTAAATGAAAATCGCCCCCCCCCCCCGCATGGAACTATTACAATTCAGAGTCTGCATGAAACTAAGCTAGTACATTTGTCTCCGTATTTCTCTCTTTTTATCTATCTATCCTTCTCTTTTTATCTATCCATTAAGAATCATTACTTATAATAATTGTCGATAATAGTCTCGTTTTATCAACTGAAACAACTTCTTATTATCCAACCTTACAGAAAAAAATTGTTTCGAATTAAAAAAAAATATAGCTTTTTTTCTAAACGAATAAATTATCTGAAAGATTTAAAAAAAACGAAAGTTTTCTGAACAACAGGTTTTTTTTCAATAAACTAGTTAAGAAGCATATTTTTTGCTGAAGAAATAAATGCTTTTTTCAAACAATCTTTTGAAAAAACGATCGTTTTTTTACTGGACCGAACAATTTTATTGAGTGAACGATTTTACGGAACGAACGATTTTACTGAATGATCATTTGGTGAGAAAACGAACGAAAAAGTGAGAAAATCAACGACAATTTTGAGACGAACAAAATAATTTGTTTGAACGATTGAAAAATGAATTGGGTCATTTCACAAACGATGAACGTACGAAATGATATAAAACGAATGCGCCCATCTCTAATTGCAAGTGGTTAAAATAAACATGTCTTTTGATTTACATACGGTGGTAGGCGATTATATCAACATAATGAGGACGACTTACAATTTCAATTTTTATTAAGCTGTAAAACAGCATGGATAAACAGAAGCTATCAATTGAAAAAGCTCCTCTTTAATTACTTGTAAACTTGTAATTCGAAAAAATCTTGTTAACAAGCAAAACTCAAATAAAAAAGTCATCATCATTGTATTGATATAATCGCCTATCAACGTACAAATATTATATGCAGAATTGCTTCCTGTTTTCGGATTGTAATAACATATTTAAGAAAATCTATTTGATATAAAGCAATATTTCTCTATATTTATTTTGACTGTAACTCTTAACTAAATGAATTTTTAAAAAATGGATTTAAAAAGTTTTAGAAAGATATTTGCAATCATTCAGAACAAAAAGTTTTTAACAAATGAATTATTTATGAGTTTTATAGGACGTTTAAATTGTATGAAAAAAAAATATTTCTGACACACCTACGGTATGTCAATATAGTACACCAAAACCATACTGCGTCCTAATTAATTATCATACAGGGAAATTTTCATCTTTCTAAATATCCCGGGAAAAATTTGAAACCTTCTTTCATTTTATTAAATAAAACCATGAAGATGTCTCATTCTGAACGAAATCATTCATATTTACGCCAACTATAAAATCACAAAAATGGCTGACCAGTGACCACATTTTGGAAATGGCAGTGATTACTGTTTTACAAAAAATATTGCTAAAATCAGGTGACCAATGTTGAATGCCACAAACTATTTGTAAAGTCAAAGACGAATTTGAAATCATCGATCATCAATCAATCAATTTACATTACTCCGGCTTATTTAGAATATCACTGTAATAAAACCTTAAATTTAAATATTGAATATTTAGGTGAAATATATACGATAATATTGATAGATAAAGCAAATTTTTAAAGCTATTTAAAAAACAAATTATGACGTCTGATTTTGTGAAAAATTGTAAGCATGGAGAGACTAGAGATGGCTTTTATTTTGTATTGTTATGTGATTTATGACATTTTTATCGTTTATTGTTAGCTGAGCGACTCCCGTATTAAAATGTTTGTTTAAATGTATTAATAAGTAAATTTATTTGCGGAATACCGCATTTTTGCGTGAAAAAGAAATTACGGAAGCAAGCACAAATGATGCGGAATTCCACGGAAACAATTTCGCGCAAAAATTTTAGGCGACACCAAAAATTCCAAGAAAAACTAGAGTGTTGAATGCAGCTGTAACAATTAATTGCGCAAAAATCTCTTCATTAGAAGTTTAAATAAATTATAATTAATTATTTCTCCTCCTTTACCTAAATGTTTGATGAAGAGAAAAAGATCAATCTCTGTTTACAACTTTTTTCGCACAATATTTCTTTCATTTCCTTCGCAATTTTGGCAATTTCTTCACATATCTATTCGTGAAATATAAGCATCTTTAAAAACAATTATTTGCGCCAAACTTATTCCACGCAAATTCCGCATTCTTATCGGAAACAGATTGACGTGGAAAATGGAATCTTGCGCGTTTTATATACTATAGAAGGGTGTGCGGAAAAATGCAGAATAATTGCCCTGAAACAATAAATTCAAAATTCTATCCTATGCAATTTATACAAATTTATACATTTTACATGTTCCATTTTTTATCAATAAGAAGATAAATACTTATTAGATCATAAAGATCTATGCAAAAAACATTTTCGTACATTGGCAAATAACAGATATTTATTCTACTATCTTCCCCACCAATTGTCAGTGCTGTCATCATCATCATCTTCAGCATCTAATCCAGACCCTTCTGCAGTATATTCATCACCATCTTCAGCATCTAATCCAGACCCTTTCTCATTATATTCATCCTCATATTCATCATCATCAAGAAAGGTATTATCAGCTTCTTCATCATTTTTCTCATCAAGAATGGAATTATCTTTGTCATCATCAAGAAAGTTATATTCATCTTCATCATCAAAAGAAGTATAATTAGTATTGGGATCAGAATTGTCATCATCATCCATTAAATGTTGTTTTTCGTCATCAAAGATGTTCACATCTGAAACATGAATATTGTTAAATTATTGTTTTCTTTCTTTTCATTCTTTTCCTTTTTTTCTTTCTCCTTCTTTTGTCTCATGCACATACTCTCCCCCCCCCCCCTCTTTTTTGGTTAAAAGTAACTAACCCCTTGTTTCCCTCCGCTCTGTATATTCTGCAAAAGACAGTCTTAGTTGTCTAATTTACCTATGTTATCCTCACTAATTGCTTCTACCACCGCTTGAGGTGGTTTTCCCTGTGATATTTCTACATCTATAACTGAGGGGCGCCCCCCTCCGTTCCCACCTGGTAATCCAACATTTATCGGAGGACGTCCCCCTCCATTTCCTCCTGGCATTCCAACATTTATTGAAGGGCGTCCCCCTCCATTTCCTCCAGGCATTCCAACATTTATTGGAGGGCGTCCCCCTCCATTTCCTCCTGGAATTCCAACATTTATTGGAGGGCGACCACCTCCATTTCCTCCAGGTATTCCGTCAGTTATCGGAGGGCGTCCCCCTCCTTTTCCTCCAGGCCTTTCAACATTAATTGGAGGGCGTCCGCCTCCGTTTCCTCCTGGCCTTCCAACATTTATCGGAGGGCGTCCACCTCCGTTTCCTCCAGACATTCCAACAGTATTATAATAAGATCCATGATAAAAGATATTGTCCATGGGATTAAAGTTAAGAATATTCCCATAATCATCTACGAAGAACTTGTGAGGTCTTTCATCTCTAAATTCTGACACCTCCCCAACTTCTGGAGTAAACTGCTGATACTGGTTTCCTCCTTGGTTGTAACTATTTGAGTAAGGTGCTCTATTTCTTTGATGATGGGATACTTGGGCATCATACCAGTGTCCTGAGGGCTGGGAGTATCTTGAGGGTTGGGAGTATCTTGATGGTTGGGAGTATCCTGAGGGTTCAGTGTATCTTTGACCATGTTGCATCCAAGAACCTCAACACAGACAGAATATAGTCAGTAAAACAGCCTTATATTTTTATTATATTATATTGTAGATGAGAATAAAGGGATGCCTTTTTCTGTGAATACTTTTGTATTCCAAATACTTCAAATATGCAAAGGGGATGGAGGAGATGTCCTATTTGATGAGGGTGCCCGCCTTCATTTTTGGTTCAAATCTTCCAAATTTTTGGCTGCACACTGAATTAGTATTTGAATTTTCTAAAATAAAATTGAATTGAATTTTAATTACCTCTAATGACCTCTTATGACCTTAATGACCTCAACATATAGAAAATGTTTCAACTATTGCTTTATGCATTTCAAAACAAAAGCTAGGAACCCAGAGAATACAGTAGCAGCAACGAATCCAGTGTTTCACCTTATAATGACCTTTAACTACCTCTAATGACCTCTAACGAGCTCTAATGACCCCTACCGACATCTAAAGACCTCTAATGACCTATGATGACCTCCAAAATTAAACTGTTCTTACTATGGCTTAATGCATTTTACATGAAAGCTAGGAACCCAGGGAATACAGTAGCTGCTACAAATCCAGTGTTTGACCTTCTTATTACCTCTAACGACCTTTAATGACCTCCACATTGTAAAGGTTCTAACTATGGCTTTATGCATATCAAACGAAAGCTAGGAACCCAAAGAATACTGTAGTGGTGTCATCAATGATCTATTTGGATGATATATTAATTTGATAAATATGTTAAGTGTTATAATTATTGTAACACAATTTGATTTATTTATTTTAATGTTTTCATAGAATCCTCCATTTATTTTGACAATCTTATATGCACATTTAGAATAGAAAAGATTTTTGATTTTTGATTATAAGTCCATTTTCAAAGATGATTTACATATTGCTCGTTTCATATGCAAAAAGGCCAAACACTAGTTTTGTTGCTGCTATTGTGTTCCCTGGGTTCCTAGCTTTTGTTTTATATTCACAAAACCACAGTAAAAACATTTTCAATTTGGGTCATTATAGAGGTCGTTAGAAGTCATTAGAGGGTCCAGCACTAGATTCGTTGCTGCTACTGTATTCCCTGGGTTCCTAGCTTTTGTTTTGCAATATTTTGAATAAACAATACACACGTGTGTTAACATCAAGTTGGTAAATAATCTTATCAGTTTCACACAAATCATTTTATCAAAACCTAAGATTATGCTTAAAGGGACTGCATACATGATTTCAATTTATTGAGTGGCATGTCCGATTTACAGGAGTACTGTTTTGAAACACTTAAACAAGATATCCATGTTTCATTTATTTTAACCCTATTCCTGCTGGGGGGGGGGGGGCAATTTGACCCCCCTGTAGTTGTTTTTTACATAACTCAAAAGTATTGGTCTGAGGCTGTTCAAATTTTCTGACTTTTCCTACATACCCAAAGGCCTCTCTTTAGGCCTAAAACTGGGCTTTAATACTAACTGCCTGAGTCCTCAGGCACACTGCCTAAATTACTGCTTTTTCCTGTAACAAACTAAATCTTTGTTTTGACCTACTTCCACTTGTCAGATTTTGATAAAATTTAGCTTTTTGGAAAGCCTTTGACATAAACGAATTGCACAAGTTTGGCGAACAAAAATAGCAAACTTTGTGCAAACAACCTGTCAAAGGAAATTTGCACATTCTTAGTTTTTCTTGATTAAAAAATCAGAATATTCAAAATTTTGCAAAATTTTTTGGATATTTGAAATGGCATGGTCAAGGGCTTTTCAAAAATGTATAATTTTTCATTTTTTGGACAATTTTTATTGCAAACATTTTTACTATATAACTAGATTTTGCGATAAAAAATTCAATTTTTGCAAATTTTCAATTTTATTGCAGATTCTAAAAGAAGAGCACAAGAGCTTTCAAATGATGTATCATTTGTCATATTTGGACATCAAACATGGGATTTAGAGGGGCCCCAGCATATCCTGGTTTTCAAGTACCCCAGCAGAGATAGGGTTAACTGAATATTTTCAACTGTGGGATCTCCAACTAATATTTGGAAAATTTATACTAATCAAACACTAATAAAAACGACGATATCTTCCACATTATGGATCAGGTTGTTAACAGGGCCTTAGGTCAACTTAAAACTACGACTGTCACTTCAACAACAAAGTTTTATCAAATGCTAAAAATAAATACATTTGCTGTTGGCTCAACAAAGGAGGGCCTTCTGACAATATTATAAAATAATAAAATGTTAGAAAATCTCTTCAAAATTTCTAGTGATCGTCGTCTTTGGTCTTTCTATATCGTGAAGAATAACTTTGTTAAAAAAATATTTTCCAATTCTATTCCAATATATTTAGAATAAATGACGTTACTATAATCTGTTCCTGAAGAGTAAATATTGTTAGAGGGTAAACTGTATCTAAAATAAATAATCATTGATTTCTTTAAAAAAAACTTTTTTTCCTGGATCTGAACTATTTCCAGAAATGTCGTAGATCATTTACATTTAACAGTTTTAATTATGTTAGATCAAATTTGAAATATAACGTCGCTGAACTACCAATAACCGGTTCAAATATTAACCACCGATTCAAATATAAAGGAAGGATTTGAATCGGTGATTAAAATTTGAACTGGCAGTAGGATTTGGGATTTGAAAAATTTTATTCTTTTTTAATGTTGCCAATTTTCTTAATTTCTTACCTTTGATTCCAATATACTCTGTTTAACTGTGAAACTGCAGAATAATCTAAAATTAAAAATAATTTATGAAATTTTCTTGTAAATTGCGAAAAAGGTTAAGATATAAAATGACAAACAACATCAAAAAAACATTTTTAAATTGCAGAAAACATCAGTTAACATTTTGCAAAAGACAACTTGGCAATTGACAAAAAAAAACAGCAAACAACTTGGCAATTAATAAAAAAACAGCAAATAACTTGGCAATTGACAAAAAACATCGAACAACAGAGCAATTGAAAAAAAACTGCAAACAACATGGCAATTGGGAATAAAAGCAGCAAACACTATGACAATAGAGAAAACAAAACGGTAAGCAACACTGCAAATGATAAAAAAAACAGAAAACAACATGGAAATGGCCAAAAAAAACAGTAAACAACGTGGCAATTGACAATAAAAGCAGCAAACAATATGGCAATTGAGAAAAAACAGTAAGCAACATTTTAAATAATAAACAAAAACAGAAGACAGCATGCCAATTAATAAAAAGACTGGAGTAAATTTTGTAACTGTAAATACATATTCAAAAAAATAAAATTCTGCAAAAAAAAATTAAGCATTTTGATAAAAACAAAAAGCAGAAACATTAAGCAAATGACTAAAATCATTAAAAAATATTTGGAAGAAAAAAAAGACATTAGAAAATGACAAAAAAAATCGACATAACTTTTCAACTCAGATCTCTTTTTATGGTAAAAAAATCCTACCTTTATATGGATAATTATACTGTTGTTGATACAGCTGGTTGTACATATAGGCTTTTGGCTTTCCTGAAAGTTAGAATTTAAATACAATGGTATTCTACATAAACTGGAATAATATTGATTGATTGATTGAAAACTTTAATGTCGTCTTTGACCATTAATATGTTTAAATTTGTATAAAAATTCTTAATATCTCTGTTATTGTTCAAAGCAAAAAAGGGAAATGAAAAGAACAGGGCTATTTTGTGATTATTGTTTTATAAAAATTACTAAAATTATTTCTGTTCTGAATCATTAAAAAATACAGATTTCAAAGCAATGTACACTGCAAGGGATAAAAGTTCCTTTGTACAGGGTGAGTTAAAACGAGATTAAAGTAATTTTTATGGCTGAAATCATGTTTTTGTTTAAAATTATTAAAGTATGATTATCACATTATAACAGAAGGTTCTTTGTTAAAAAAACAGAAAAAAAACTACGAATTCTTTTTCCTCTGTAAATGTAGTTTAAAGTAACCCTCTTTAATGGAATTAACCTTATTAACATCTTTTCTAAGAACATTTTATTTTCCAAGCATAAAGATTTTTCCATTATTTTTTCTTGCAAAATAAATAAAATCTAATTACATGAAAAGTATTGTAAATTGAATCAAAGATTATAATGATTGAGTTTCTTATAAAACATTAGAAATGACGAACTTATAGTTAAAGTTTTCTACCTGTAGATAGAATAAACAAACAGGAAGCCAGTACACTTACAATATAAAACATTATATCTGGAAAAAAAAGAAACGGTTGTAGAGAAATGTAGACAATTGACTTTTTATACAAACACAACAGTTACAGGATTACCCACAAAGTTACAGGATTACCCACAAAGTTACAGGATTACCCACAAAGTTACAGGATTACCCACAACAGTTACAGGATTACCCACAAAGTTACAGGATTACCCACAAAGAGACAGGGTTACCCACAAAGTTACAGGATTACCCACAAAGAGACAGGGTTACCCACAAAGAGACAGGGTTACCCATAAAGTTACAGGGTTACCCACAAAGACGCAGGGTTACCCACTAAGGATGACAATTTTATAAGTGACCTGTTCCTTAGCACGATTTAAGGTTTTTACAATTCCCATTGGAATACTAAAAATTTTAAAAAAAACTTACCAAAGGGATGGACATTGTTTTCAGGCCCATTTAAACCCATCTCAAATTATTGTGGAAGCCTTTAAAAAGTTTTAAAAAAAACTTTGAATGTTAAAAACGGACCACCATGCTCATCCCTGTTTTTCGGGTAAAAGATTGTTAACACTTTTACTCAGCGATTGCACAATGTAAAAGCATATTTTACTGTATCAATGGAATATAGTTATTTATAATACTGTACTCTCAACCTAACTACACTTTCCTTGCTCTTTAATTATAAAGATTTTACAGTTTTGAAAAATATTTTCTTAATAATCCCCCTTCTACATCACTACATTACAATTTCGTGAAAATATAAATTATGAAAATGTTAAAGATTTTTCTGATTCTGCGTTTAAAATTATGGTAAACCCCCCCCCCTACCCCCTGCAAAGAATTATGTGGTATATAGATGAAGGAAAAGGTGAATGCAAACTGCAGTTCTTATCTTGATCTTGTTTCTCTCCCGGTGTCGCGTGATAATATTCCCCCCCTATGTTATTCTCTCCCCCCATCCTATAAATTTTAAGCTTTTCAATACAAATTAGAACATTAAAGCCATGATAAAAACTTGTCAATATTTTAAAGGAAAAGCACAATGGGAAAGCATCGATACTCATTCCTTTAAAAAAAAAGCTTTTTTCACGCAAAATGTCGTCTATTCTCAAAAATTTCGTTCGTTTCAAGGAGATATTGAATAGAAGGAGGGGGCGATAGGGTTTCCGTACACTTTCTAATGTAAACAAACATGAGTTAGTAAACTGTGAAAGTAGTATTAACTTGTTAAAAAGATTGAAAAAGTTAAGGATTTTAGTTATATACGAAAAAATTACAGAGAAATTTTCAATCAGATGTCTGTTTATAATTTGTGTTATTGTTTACAATCTTTATTATTGTTGTTACGCAAAAACTAGTTCTTCAGCAGTCCAAAAACGCCGCAGCAAAGTGTACGGAAACCCTATCGCCCCCTCCTTCTATTCAATATCTCCTTAGTTCGTATAAAAAATCGATGCCATTGTCTGGCTACGCCTACGGGCTTATCATGGAATCCCACNGCGGGGGTTCCATTTCCATTAGCTTTTTTCTGAGAGTTTATGATCCATTGTTTAATAATTTGAAAGGAAGACGACTTTTGAGAGTCAAAAGCTTACTGTGATTTACCCCTCCCGTAAATAATGTGCAATTCCTTTAAATTAATAATTTCTATGTTTAATTGATTTCACAGACTAACATTTTGAGAAATTCTTGAGGTAAAAATATATTGCCTGGGGGGGGGGGACTGATGCACGACACCGGCTCCGAGTGTCAAGACCTTACATAAATATATACATTATACTCTGTTTATATAGGGGCCTTAGGAGCTCTGGGGATGGGAGGGGAAGTGATGGAAAATAGGGCGGTTTTAATTTGTATTTTCATGTTCACAGATGCTTTATCGCTATTTGGGAGCCATTAATGTGCAGCCTATAACCAAAGAGAATAGAATATATATTAGAGTGGAATTTACTAGAAAAAAGTGTAAAACGGCCATTTTGTTTCCATACTGCAGGTGTACTTAACTTATTTGTGCTATATAACCTTTTGGGCCCTGAAACATCATTTTATGGAAAATCTAAAATTAATATTGAAAGAAAACCAAATTATGAAATAGGCTTGTTTCATAATTGACCAATGATCAATAGACTGTATACCTTTTACTTAACAAACAATGATTTTCCGTTACAATTATAAATCAAATGATGTGTTTTATTCACCTAATTAATTTTATAAAGTTTATTTAACAGCTTTAAAAAATTCAAAATTGAAATAAATAGTCTAAGGAACATTCTGTATTAATGTACTCTACTGCATGTAATTTGTGAACTTTTACATGATTTGTACACTTTGAACTCCCTTTCAGGCTGAAAGGGACTGACAAAATTCATATCGAGGGATTGTCTAAATTCCACTCTAATAAATATTCTATTTTCTTTGCCCATAACTTATAATGATAAATAAAGTGGTTTAATAGTTTTATGCTTAAACCTTAAACTTGTTTACGCAAAAAGTAAGCTGGAAGACACTGAGAGGAAAAATATGAAATTGAATTTAATATGATCTTTGCAAATCTTTTGATTAATTTGTTAAAAATCAGTGCTATTATATTTCAAGGGCTCGGTACTTCCGGGAGGCTCGTCACTGTAAATGTGGAGGCTCATGGAGGCCGCGATTTCTTCCCTCGTTCACTTGCCATTAGTCATAGAGCCATTTTAAATAGTATCATAGTTCTGTTTCAGAGCCCATACAATGTCGTTATCCTTAAGATCTTTTTTAAATATCATGAATTAGTTATTGCTAAATCAAAAAAAAAACAATAAATGAAAAAATGTTTTAGTTTATTCTATTTCTTAAAATCACATTATCTACATATCTAGAAGGTCATGAAATGCATATGGATATATACTTTAAATCTACTGGATGAACTGGGCTTAATCTATTGTTGAAAACTCCACTAAAGTTAAATTAAATGTAAGGTTTCCAACGAAATTTTCGTACAAAATATTTGCAAGTTTTTTTCGTGAAATTTGAGATTTGGGTATTTTTTGTTCTGATATTTCATTTCTTTGCACACACCAGATTAGAATGGTGTGCGAGTTTAACTCTCCATTTTAAGTGTATAGCTTATATGATTTACAAGAAATGGTAAAATCTCAAAATTTCCTTTTTTTAAAAATAAACTTTTTCTGATGATCCGAGCCATATTTTTTGCCATGGTAATAAATTTTTAAAGCTCGATCAATGTATATAAGAAAGCATGGTACAGCAAATGGTTGTATAATACAGTATACACAGTATACATAAACTCAGTACAGGGTTACCCACAATTGATGAAATTTAAATGACGACCACATAAGAATATTTTAAAATCTCAAATGTGATTTATTTTGTCTTATATATAGAATTAAAATTGCATCTACAGGGTGTCCCAAAAGACATGGGAATTAAACGACGACTTCTATGTCGTCTTTGTTCCAAGAGGGATTACTTCGTAAACATTATTTTGTAGTATCACATTCAAACATTTAACACCGAAAAATACTAGTCTCGGTATTTCCAAAATGTGGTCTACCATTTTTTTGCCTTCAAAATTGACGGGGATTTCGGGAAATTTGTCCAGTTCTCTGCAGTTTACTAAAAATCAACAAAACTGTTAAAATTTTTATCATTTCCGTCAAGTTTTACGAAAGAAAGAAGGTAGACCACATTTTAAAAAACTCATTAGATGTCCAAAAGTTTTGATACGCTTTATGTCATTTATGAATCAAGTCGTCTTTTAATTCCCATGTTTATTGGGACACCCTGTGCTTTAAATTAGATTCATAAAAAAGATGGAAATATTTCGATTACAATTTTACAAAAACAATTACAAATTAAACTTTTCCGGTCAAGAATAGGTTTAAATTAAAAAGTCAAAAAAGTCTAAACTACAAAGGAATTGAGATTTTCTATTCCTATCTTTGCAACCCAATGTCGCTCGTTGACTTTAAATATTTCAAACTGTTGATTCTATGAGATAAAATAATCTAAGTTTGAAATATCATAGATTTACACCATAAGGTTGCAAGATATAAGAGATCGATAAGTTTGTGGAAAATTCCTGTAGTGAAATTTTATAAAATAAATGTGATTAATTTCAAATTTAAAAAAACAGAACGCATCTAGCCAACGTTAGTCTAGGGGGCAGAACGGATAATCTTATAAGTCTCGTTAATATTTCGTGGGTAATTATGCATTTATTCTGGTAATATTTTACATTTTAAATTCTGGATTTCTAAACAATTATCTAAATATACTAAGTATACTAAGTATACTAATTTTCCTAATAAACAGGGTGAACTGTGAATTAATCTAATCTTCAGAAGGAGACATATATTCATTTTCATTAATATGCTTTCCTAATGTATAGGTAGAACCAAAGTCCCACTATGGTTTCTTAATATATTGGTAGAACCATAGTCCCACTATGGTTTCCTAATATATTGGTACAACCATAGTCCCACTATGGTTTCCTAATATATTGGTAGAACCATAGTTCCACTATGGTTTCCTAATATATAGGTAGAACCATAGTCCCACTATGGTTTCCTAATATATAGGTAGAACCATAGTCCCACTATGGTTTCCTAATATATTGGTAGAACCATAGTCCCACTATGGTTTCCTAATGTATAGGTAGAACCATAGTCCCACTATGGTTTCCTAATATATAGGTAGAACCATAGTCCCACTATGGTTTCCTAATATATTGGTACAACCATAGTCCCACTATGGTTTCCTAATATATTGGTAGATCCATAGTCCCACTATGGTTTCCTAATATATTGGTAGAACCATAGTCCCACTATGGTTTCCTAATGTATTGGTAGAACCATGAGTCCCACTCTGGTTTCCTAATATATAGGTAGAACCATAGTCCCACTATGGTTTCCTAATATATTGGTAGAACCATAGTCCCACTATGGTTTCCTAATATATAGGTAGAACTATAGTCCCACTATGGTTTCCCTCTGCCAGTGTAGATAGAAAGATACGCCCTATGGTAGCATGAACAAGGAATTGTGAAT